TATAAAGAACGTCGAAAATGAAGTTCGTATGCGAAAGTTAAGAATTTCTAAAGTTCGGGGCGCGAACCCCAAAGCTGTGTCAGAGACCACGACGTGGCAAGTCTCCTGACACCTCCGGGAGTCCCCTAGACACAACTTACGATGACGTATGCAGTGACGACCAAGCCCACGACGTGGAAAAAGGGTGCCACGTCGTGGCAAGGGCCAAATTTTCCCTATAAATAGATTTGAAGGGCCAGCCGTTTAGGGTTGCTATTTTCTCTCCTCTCTCTCCTGTTTTACCTCGATTTGCATGCAAGAAATATCCCAATGCCCCAGTATCAACCCCGAGACCCGAAGCAAGTACCGAAGCCTGAAGATCCCGAGAAGAAAAGAGTTTCCGAGCCGAAGCTCTATCCGCGAGAAACCCGGTGTGTGAAGTGATCCCGGTTTCACCGAAGAATATTTACTCTTAGAGCCGTAGTGTTGTCCGATCATTTTCTGATCAAGTGAGTGTATAGTCACTTTCATCTTACACATAGATATGAAGTATTTTATAAAATACGTGTTATGTGTATATATATTGTTGTTTATACGTGTGAGTGTATAGCTACTTTCTTCTAACACATAAATATAAAGTATTAGCTATGAAATATGTGCTATGTGTTATATATTATTTGTCTATTTGAAATGGGCATGGAATTGATGTTTTATACAAGTGTTAAATGATTTAAACTATGTAAGTGTTTATATCTACAAAAATGTTGGGTAGAACAAGGGTAGATGGGATAGTTGGTGACTATGGAGTTAGCGCCTACCATTAGATAAACCTTGGTGACGATGTGACTTAGTGCCTATTATGTAAACCCTGGCGACTATGCGACTTAGTGCCTATCGAGTAAACCTTGGTGACGATGTAACTTCGTGCCTATTAAGTAAACCCTGGCGACTATGCGACTTAGTGCCTATCGAGTAAACCTTGGTGACGATGTGACTTCGTGCCTATTAAGTAAACCCTGGCAACTATGCGACTTAGTGCCCATCGAGTAAACCTTGGTGACGATGTGACTTCGTGCCTATTGTATAAACCTTGGTGACTATGGAGTTAGCGCCTACTGTTAAGTGAACATTGGTAACTATGGAGTTAGCGCCTGATAACTATGGACTTAGTACATGATAGATAAACTTTGGCAACAATGGACTACGTGCCGATTCCATAGGTAAATCCTTAGGAACGAGTGAATAAAGGATAGTTGATTCATAGGGTAAAACCTTAAGAAATAAAGAAGATAATGGGGACGGGTAATTGGGTTGATTGTTTGATGATTGAATATAATAATTATATTAGTGTGGGTTGGAAACCCTATATGCTAACCAGGCTCCCAAGCCTGACCCACTCAGTTTTCTTTGCATTAGAGGTAATGGCACAAGAGTATAAGTTGGTGGACTTGACGAGAGATTTTGAATTATAGATCAGTAGTTATAAATAACTGTTGTAAGGTCTATTTTATATTATTTATGCTTATGGTCTGTATCGGAACATGACATCCCGAGGTTTTATTATTTAATGAAAATACATTCTCTTTGAGAAACGTTTTGATAAATTTTATCATATTTTGTTTTTGGAACAAATTCCGCAACTGTTTTCCTTAAAAAGGATTACTCTGATTTTAGAACAAAGCATAAACAAATCGGTCTTTTCTGGCCGTGAAATTGGGGATGTCACAAGTTGAACTCATAAATGGAACAATTGGGAATTTGAACCTTCGAAAAGAAGTTGTTAATATAAAAGGAGTTAATTGGAGTTGTAGTTGAGATAAATAAACTCCATTACCATAAAGGAAAACTTAGAGCTAAACTTTGGGTAAAATATAGCACTTATATAGTTGAACACTAACAAAAGGGCATGTCTTAATCATTGAATACCTTGGAATGGTAATAAGAAGTCGTTATACGTTTGGATGTAAAAAAGCACAAGTAAGTGAACATCATCCGATCTAAACATATCAAAGTGAGTAATTGAGTTAGTATTTGATTAGTCAATGCGTTATCATCATTATTGAGTATAGTCTTCTTTGTTTCATATTAGGAATGAATCCATATCTGTCCTATGTTGGGGATGTATTCTTATTGGTCCTGTAATGGTGTACTCTTATTTGTCATGTATTTGAATATACTCAAATTGACCGCCTATTAAGTATGTACTTTTGTTGATATTGTATTGTGGATGTATTTCTTATTGCTCTTATATTGAGTATGTACTCTTATGAGTCTCATATAAGGTGCATAAAAATTCGATCACGTATTAGGGACATTCATGTTGACTATTTATAAGGAAGTATACATGTTGGTCCCATAGTACAGATGCACTGATGTTGGTTTTATATGGGAATGGTTATGTATAAAATCCAAATCATATAGTTATGAAGTAAATCGATTTTTCTTGTTGACTGTTTCTTCTTAACTTTAAATAAAATGATCATAAAAGCTTTGAAAAGCTACATACTTTTTGTATTATTTCTTTTTTAAATTATAATTTTAAGCTCCTATTTATGAACAAACGTGTTTTAATTAGAACTTTTTATGACAAGTAAAAGCTGAAAATTACTAAAAACTCTCAAAAACTTGATTCTGGACTTATTCTAAATAAAATTAGTTAAAAAAAAAAAAAGCATATTATGTGATACATTGATATCCATCATGTGAATAAAAGTACGAAAAATATAAATTTAGTAAAAGAAATTTTTACGACATCAATATTGCATTAAACTTATTAGAGTTTATTGGATTGACACATCATCATTTTACTTTTAGTACAATTCTAAATTAATTTTCCTCAATGCATTGAATTCTATAAAGTTCAATAAAACATATTTTTGATAGTTAAAAGGTTTTCTTTTTCCCATTAAAGAGTTAAATAGTCATTGAAATCCATATTCGTTGAGTGTCAATATGACATCCCACAATGTTTGAATTTAATCTATTAAATGCCAATTAGGTATTAGGATGTTAATTTTCCTAAATTATACATATTGTAATTGATGTATTTAATACTTATATGCATAACTTAAGGTTAAAATGATACTTATTTGCATTATATGTATATTATGTAGCTGAAAAGGGCATGTTGGTGAAATAATAGATGAAAAAGACAATTTTGGACATAATTTGGTGAAGTATTGGGCAAGAAAGACAACTAGAGTTAAGCATGGAAATAAATATGAATGTTCTTCAAATAATTTTAAGATTTTTTTTATTTTTCGTCGCGTTTTAAGTCGAATCTGAAAAAACTTTAAATAGATTCTAAAGTTCGTCCAAAGCAAGGATATATAATAAAATAACAGGCATCTAGAATATCAAAACCAGAGGAAGCCGTATGGAAGCAAAATTTTGAAGATCGAAGGAAGAATAATTAGATTATCAACTAGTTCACTTTTCTGTCTATAACTAGTTAGCTAATTTATTACATATATATATATATATATATATATATATATATATATATATATATATATATATATATATATATATATATATATATATATATATTTTCTTAAGATTTATGATTAAACCCTTTATGATTATTTGTTATTTGTGAAACCTTAGTTTGTTTGAGTAATTGATATTTTTTATTGAAAGTTATTTAATTTGTTATGTGTATGCTCAATTAAAGACCCATACGTATTAATCTGGATTTTTTTATTTTTATATAACTGAGTGCATGATCTAATGTTTAAATTATGTATCTTGTATCATGTTGTTTTGCTAACATTAGTGGTCCAAAATTTTATTAATGAGGTAGGTAGCAGGATTAGTGGCTGACCGCATCCTTAGGTTAAACATAATAAGATTGAGTTAATGTTCATGAATGATCTGATAACTCTGACAATTTGAAAAGTTGTCACTAACCCTAGAAGTGATCATATCAATTGAGTCATTACATAATATAAACGAATATACTAAGTCTAGGCGAACTATTCTTGCTAGCAGACAACTTAGAATCATAGGATTAGTGATTTGACCATCCGATCTAATCAATTAGTGAATAACTTACCAATGTCATTTAAATGATATTAACTATTGAATTAAGATGGATTAAAAACAAACATGATTACCTTTAGATTATGTTATATATACAGTTAGCTATGGTTGTTATGATTATTTATATGTTGTTTATTTATTTGCTATTTTATTTAAGCGGCATTTATAATCCCTTTATTATGCTTTATTTTAAGATTGATGAATAAAAAAATATTGATATATTAATGCATTTATGTTCGGCATATATTCAGCACCTTACTTACCTATGTTATGTTGTCATTTATTCGGTATATTAACTGTTAATCACCAATATGGTTTATTAGGAATTATAAATATAAAACTAGATTTTTATTTTCAGTTAAGTCTATATCTTTTATGTCATAAGTTTTTTGGGGTCTTTATTATATGAAATTGTTTTCAAGTTATCTCAAGTTGGTATACTATCTTTTACACATTAGATTCTCTTAGGATAAAAAAAATATTGAATCGTTGAAACTTAAAACTTATGACAATAAAATTATAGATTTTTTATAGAACAAGGAGAATTAAAAATAATGCCAACGGATGAGTAGCAAATATACAAGACTATAAACAACAACACAACCAAAAAAATACAAAAGAATTAAAGTTAATTAGGTGATATAAATTAGTAGTTGATTGCTGTTTGTACCTATTTATAATTACGATTCAAACTTCTAAAAACTGTTTTCGAAAAGAAAGTACATTAAGACGTTATGTGATGTTTGCATCAGGAGTTAGTATTAAGATACATTTATATCAAAACTTATTTGGTAATTGCTAAATTTTCATCATTCTCCATTTCTTCTTCTTCTTTTTTAAAAATAAATCAAACATAATTCGTGATATTTTAAAATATTTTCATTTACATATAAAAAAAAAAAACTATTTTGTTTATTATAATAGTTCTACCTTTCAGCTCTATAAATAGAGTCCAACCCAATGATATTCCACATTCCACAACTCACTTAAACTCTTCAAAACACACGCTAACTAGAAGTAATGGCACTTGGTGGAAAGGCAACAGTGGTGCTACTCCTTTGCGCCATGGTAGCAAACGCCGTCGAGGGTGAGGTGGTGACCTGCCAGATGGTGGTCAGTAGCATAAAACCGTGTGTTGGCTACCTCACCATAGGAGGTCCACCGCCACCCTCATGCTGTAATGGGGTAAGCTATCTCAACAAGGCTGCAGCAACCACCCCCGACCGCCAGACCGCTTGCAAGTGTCTGAAACAAGCCGCCACCATGTTGCCAGGGCTCAACCTTGATGCCGCTGGGAGCCTGCCCGTGAAATGTGGCGTCTACATCCCCTACGAGATCAGCCCTGATACTGACTGTGCAACGTAAATTTTGAATCCTATTAAAATTTAGCACATACCTATATATAAAATCTTACAATATATTAGATTACAAGGTCTAATTCCAAAGTGGTTACAGGGTGCAATGAAGTGGTAACGAGAAAGGCGCATGTTTAAGAACCAGTAGAATATTGAATAAGGTTGGCGATAATCGTGTCACGTACTTGTGTCCGTCTCCAGATAGCTAGCTATCATGTACTCTTGCAGGATGTTCATCCTCTGGTAGTATGCGTCTAGCTTGTATGTTTTTTTTTCGTTGGTTGTATTTGGTGCTTGCTCTTGTTTGTCACGTTCAATAAATCTCGTTTTTTTTTTTTTTTTTCTATCGTAATATATCACTTGCAAATGTTGGTGACAGTTCTAGGTAATTGAAGAAAAAATCATATATCACTTATCTAGGAAATACCCTACCATACATGGTATATTTTGCTAAGGGAATCTATATATAACCCACCAAACCTTTTTTAAATGCATTTTTACATCTTGCTTTTAATACAATTCTATCAAAAAATTTCTATAATACATTAAATTCTATAAAGTTTAATTTAACGTATATTTCAGAATTAAAAATGTATTCCTTCTTTTCCAAATTAATTATCTACTTTTGATTTTTGAAGTTTTTTTTTTCTTTAAGTTTAACATTAAATATTTTTATTTGTGTTATATATTACTTGATAAAACATATAACAATGATAAGACATTTAACATACAATCCCTTCATCTATTTTGCGTTAGGTATTATCTATTAAAAACGAAAATTTTTAAGGTCAAAATTGAAGAATAAAGACTTTAAAAATCAAATATAGACAATTAATTGGAGACGAAAAATAAAGACTTCAAAAATCAAATGTGAACAACTAATTTGGGACGAAGATAGTATCATTTTTCCAAGAGTTACCATTGAACTTCATATCTAAAAAAACATGCATTCTACGTTTGTAAATTTTAATCCACTGAATGTCAATTGAGCATGTCATTCCATTTGACTTTAATAAAATAATAAAACCGTATATTATAAACGGTTATGATTGAAAATATGTTTAAGTGAAATAGTTAATAAATTATATAATAATTAACTCATGGAACATGGGCAACAATAAGAAGTTCATTTTTCTTTTAAGTATTAATTAAAACTAATATTTAGTCACATGTATTGTCACAGATAGCTTTTTTGCAAAGTGGAATACAAAAATATAAAAATAAAATTCTAATTCAAATAATTACTTATGAAAGAGGCCGAATAAAAAGTTTGAAAGTATATTTTGTTTGTTACAATACCACAAAAGACAAGTAATTAAGAAATTATAAGAATCAAAAGTAATATTAATAAAAACCAAAACTAAAAAAAAAAATTATATAAATGAACAAAAAGGTAACTTTAAGAGTAAATTATAGTTTCGGTCCATGTGGTTTGGTTAGATTTGTAATTTTAGTCTAATCTTTTAAAATTTTACAAAGTGCATCCATATGGTTTAAAAAAATTGCATTGTACATCCTTACTGTAATTAAAAAGACCATTCTACCCTTACTTTTATATTTTTGTTTTTCTTTTATATATATATATATATATATATATATATATATATATATATATATATATATATATATATATATTATTGTTAATTTTTTTTCACTTACATTTTAATTTATTTATTTATATTTTTATTATTTAGATTTTATTTGATATTTTTTTGAATATATTTTTTAATGTTTTTTAGATTTAGTTCGTTTATATTTCTTTGGTGTTTTTTTAATAAGTTTTTGTAGTTTTTTGACGTATTGTTTGTGTACATTTTAATTTAATTTGATGTTCTGTTTGTTTATATTTTTTAAAATATATTTTGTAAAAAATGTAAAAAAAAAAATAAAAAAATAAAAAAATAAAAAAAAAAATAAAAAAAATTCACTAAATGTGGATATTATTAACATCAATTACGTATAAATTTGTTTTTAATAAGATTAATAGATAGACTAACTGAAATTCGAAAACCCATTTCAAACTATATAATGGTTAATTAGAAACCATAGACCTCGAAGATGAACAAAATTTCTAAAAATAAAAAAAAAAACTCGAAAACATTGACGCGTGTGTTTGAGTTATAGAAAATCTGATTAGCATTTGACATTCGGAACAATTTTTTTTTTTCTAAAACTAAAAAATTTGAACTCGAAGTCATTGACACTCGTTTTGAATTCCGATTAGTCTATATAATAACCCTATTAAAATAAATAATTTTTTTTCTATATTTTTAATGTATTTTTATCTTTTTTTTTTTTATATTTTTGTAAAGCTTTTGATAAATATTTTTTTGTAAAAAATATAAAAAAGTTTCTTAAATATGAGTATAATTAACACATAATAGGTATAAAATTATTTATTTTAATAGTGTTATAGTATAGACTATCCGAAATTCGAAACGAATGTCAATAGCTTCGAGTTCAAATTTTTTGTTTTAATTTTTTTTTTTTTACATTTTGTTTCGAATATCAATTGCTAATAAGAGTTTCTACAACTTAAACACATATGTCAATGTTTTCGAGTTAATTTTTTTATTTTTAGAAATTTTGTTCATTTTTGAGTTATATGGTTTCCAATTCGATGTTATATAACTTGAAACTCATTTTCGAATTTTGGTTAGCCTATCTATTAATCCAATTAAAAAAACTAATTTTTTACATATTCAATGTTAATAATATTCACATTTAATGAACTTTTTTACATTTTTACAAAAATTATTTTGAAAAATATAAACTAACATAACGTCAAAAAAATTTAAAATGTATTCAAACAATATGTCAAAAACTAAAAAAAAAAATTATTCAAAGAAAAACATCAAAGAAATATAAATGAAGTAAATGTAAAAAACATTAAACAATATATTAAAAAAATGTCAAATAAAATCTAAATAATAAGGATGTGTAGTGTAATTTCTTTAAACCATAATGATGTATCTTGTCAGATTTTCAAATGTTTGACGGAAAGAGCGAATCTAACCAAACCACAGGAGCCAAAACTATAATTTACTCTGCCTTTAAAATATGGGGCTGATTTATCCGCTTAGCCTTTTAATCCATCCACGGAAAAAAGTGGTGTGTGAACAAATATTCCCTCAATATAATTTGTAGGTATTTTTAATTAAAAGAAAAGAACCCCACGTCTAGCAAAAAACTCCAAACGACACAACTATGCTTCTTCGTCCAGATTTCCAACACATCTTCAAGAGCTTAAATTACATCTTAGAATTCGAAAGAACCACTGCTTATTTCGTTCTTATTTTGGTGACAATATCTATACGGACTTCCATTTCTAAAGGCCATAACATTATCGAGAGAAAATGTGTTGATTTCAATTTAATAGTGCCTTGGTTGCACATTTTAAACGACATAAAAATAGTTGTCGAAATTGATATGGGAGACAGAGCTTTTACTTTAATTGTGGAGCCTAATATAAATCATTCATTGAGCATGAGATCGTTATAGTGAGTTGTATGCTCACCAGAGATAGTCGTTTGTAGGTTCCTCCGGCAGAGTTTCAGTGAGTTGCAGGTACTCCTGAGAGAGCTGTCACCGATTGTAGAGGTGTGTGTATGTGTGTGTGTGTGAGAGAGAGAGAGAGAGAGAGAAATAGAGAGAGAGAGAGAGATAGAAATGGTGATTGGGAAAGAGAGAGGAAGATAGTGGATGGTGGCGGCTTCTGATTTTTGAAGGAGAGGGGTGGAAGTTTAGTTGTTGTGGGAGGAGGTGAGCACCAGAAATGGTTAAAAGGAGGTGGAAGAGTCGTTCAGAAAAAAGAGGCGGAATAATTTGATTGATTTGTATCTGTAACTTACTCTAAATGAGATGAGGGTATTATTGTCCATATATTAATTTCCTATGGATGGATAGAAATAGGGATGAGCATATGGACCGGGGAACCGGCCAGAACCGGAACCCGATGAAACCGGTCGGGCTGGGATCGGGATGTTAATTTTGTGGATCTTTGGAACCGGGAACCGGTAGGAACCGGAACCGATATAACTGGAACAGCTAGAACCGGCAAAAACCGGAACCGTATGATGCTATTTTTCGAGGACCGGTTCTAACATTTAAAGACACGACAAGAACCGGGAACTGGTAAAACCGGCGGTCCAGTTCGGTTCCTATTTTCCATCAAGTTCGGTTCCCGAGCCGGTTCCGGTTCGGGCCGGTTCCAACCGGGTCGGTTCCTTTGATCATCCCTAGATAGAAAAGCCTATGTGGAAAAATCAGCTCCCTAAAATATAGTAAGGGACCAAAATTGCAACCTATAAAATAATAATAGTTTAACATTAATATTATCAGAGATCAAATTTTATTGAGGGAATATATATATATATATATATATATATATATATATATATATATATATATATATATATATATATATATATATATATATATATACCTCAATGAAATTCTAAAAGAAACCCACAAAAATACTTGCTTATTCACAAGCGCTTTTATATATATATATATATATATATATATATATATATATATATATATATATATATATATATATATATATATATATATTTTTGATACAAATATATATTTGATACAAAAATGGCCTGTCAACACTCAGTACTAGAAAACAGCCCTTTAATGACGCGCAAAGAATGACACTCGCTGATAGAGGACGTGCATTGGCATGTGCCCTAAAAGATAATGTCAATTTTGCAAAATTTGATGGATAGTGGACACGCATTTGTGGGTGCCCTAAAATTAGTGTCAGAAAAGAAAAAAAATGCAGAGGGCGCCTTTTGTAAAATGTGCGTCCTCTAAATGTGTCGCTTTTTATTTTTATTTTTCTTAAACATGCGTTTTTAAAGAGGGAAAACGAAATCATCTGAAATTCTAAAATTTTGAAGATCCCCGCTTCTACCCTCTCTACTCAATATCTCCCTTCCTTCACTCATTCCTTCTCTCTGTAAACCCTAATCCATCGCCACTGCCACCGCCATTGAACCTTAAAAACTCAATCCGCACTTCACGCTTCTGTGATTCTCTCTTCTTCGGTTCTCAAATAATAGAACGCGCGTTCCATCCTAGGGGGAAAATGAAATCCCCCAAAAATTAAAACCCCCGCCTTGTGCTGAAAACCCTCGTCTCCTTTACATGGCTGAAAACCCCCTTCTCATCAGATTTCCAAGCTATCTCTTCGTTTTGTCTGAGATTGTTGTAAACTGCAACATTCTTAAACTAGGGGATTCAACTAAATACCATTACCCAAACCTATTCTGGTAATTGGGAGCCAATTAGGGAAAAATGCAACCCTCATACCACATT